AATGGTACTGATGATAACCTATTTACAGCGCCAACGAATGACCAGTTCAGGGAACCGTTTCTCGAAAGTCCCGATAATTAACGGGCCCGGTAGGCTATCTCCGTTTACATTAAAGATCGAGGTTTCAATAGTTTTGCATCTGACATGATAAAACTATCAGTAGTTTGCTAGCCAGGACCCGTGATCTTATTCTTTATATTTCGATTTGAAAATTTGATTCCGGGCCCGAAACGTTACCGGGACTTTCGAGAAACGGGCCCCAGGCCCGGCCAGGCGTTTTGGGTCTTCGGGGTCTTTTGCTATTCAGATTTACGGTATTCTAGTGTCTCAAAATGGGTATAAAGTATCTCGTTTTCCTGGGAATTGTTGATATTTAGTTTCAAGACGCGCGTTTTAGTATTTTTTCTTCATATATGAATGTATTCTGACATAGTGATCGAAATACTCAACAGAAGTTCGCCAGGAGCTGGTAAAGCAGGCATTGGAAAACAGCTAGTGACCACTAACTGCAGTGTACCCATTTCAGGTATGCGGTATTAACGATTTTACAATTCTAAGGCACATTGGTATCTTATAAGGAAACACTCTGGTATACTGGTATCCCACTACTTACTGCATATGAGGAACTGGTCTATTTCGGTTCAAATACTAATATAGGTGTGCTACGAGTTCAGTAAGTAGCAATTAAACAGGTTTGTTTCATCTAGTTTTTCAGATATCGAGAAGCCAAGGTGAGGCACACAAAAAAACTGCCTTCAGCTCTATAATTTGGCTCCCCAGAGGGCCATTAATCAGTGAAAATATTTTCAAAGCAATAATAATTTGTAGGACATTTGATAAAGTTTTTCACGGCCATGATAATCTTTTTTTCCCATCGTAAAATATTTATGATCTAGATATTCCTTCTGTAGTTAGGCTAGGTCTATAAGACGTGGTCTATAATATGGCCACAGAATAGACTATAATGGGGTACGGGTTCTGAAAGGCCAGCGGCACATATCCAGCAAAAATTAACCCAAGTAACACCCCCGTGCGTACAGCTACACAAACAGTCATACTACAAAGTCAAAAACATGAACATTCCTTTATAGATCTTGAAATATCACAAGATACTTTGCTGATATAAGAATCACACTGTTTTACCATGGAAAACCCTATGGCCATGAAAAGGGGTATTTTCCTTCATTGACTCCATTTTTGTTAAAGACACGTTGTTCGTAAACGTTCCAGATACCTTGTTACTGCGTCGTACTATCTTTTTCTTGCAGTAACAGTTGCAAGTCAGCAATTTGCAAACTTCTTGTCGAAATTTTGGGCTACGAAATGAATAAATCAGCGGATTGGCTGCCGAACCTGTAAGCCCAAGCAGCATGGAAAATAACTCGAGTTTCATGTTTTCCTCGCTGTGTTCGCCGTATTCTGCAACAATGAGCTCCACGAACGTCGGCGTCCAAGTAATTGTGAAGACAACAGTGACAAGTATGAAAAGTTTCGTTATTTTACGTCGAGACTTAACGAGGCCAGCTTGCGTAGATCTGCTAGAGTCAGCGTTGAACCAACAATGGTAAATCACACGTGAATAGCAGAAAATGATGACAGCGCTTGGAAAAATATAACCAAATATGAAGAGCACTAACGCGTAAGCCGTGCTAAAAGTTTGGAACCAAAGAGGTTCGACCCATGTTTCATTTAATGTCGTGTTTACTCCAGTCCAACCATACTTGACCCCTTTTCTTACAGCACCTATGTAATATCCAGGTGCACTCAAAACGACAGCCAGGAGCCATATCACAAGCACTACTTTACTGAGCAGACTCTTTCTGGCTCTTTTCAGGTGAACAAAGGGCCTGAGAATCGCAAAATATCTCTCTACTGCAAGGGCGACTAGGATATAAATTGAAGCCAGTGCGTTCATAAAAAATTCCCGGACGGCATACGTGGCCTGCTTGGAGATTAAAACCACATTAGCAAAAGCCAAAATGGAGAACCAAACATCTGAATGAGCGAGGCTCAGTAAAAGGAAGGTATTTGGACTTTCGCGCAGCTTTTTGTCCTTCTGAATAACCACAATGACAAGAAAGTTCCCCACAACATTGCAGACATAAATTGGAATAGCAATGAAAGTTATCACCGTAGAGAATACCTTATCCATTGAAGAAAACGAGTTGTGTTTATCAACCGTTTCACAACTGGTACTGGCACATCAAAACTACACCCGGAAAGCGACGCTTTCTCTGAACAAACTATTATTATATGCACTTTTAAATTTTATTTTCATCATTTCTGTAAAAAAATATTGCACGTTGATTACCTTTTATTTACTGACCGACGACTAAACAAAAGTTTGATTTCAGCCCTGACCAATTGAAGTAGAGTCATCTCAATTTGGTGCTTAACGAGGAACTCCTTTTTTGCTTGTCTTCGCAAAATGATGTGATCAAAACATGAAAAAATGATTTTTCATAACAAAGAGAAAGGCCATAATTAAAATGGTAAAATAAATCCTTTGTTCTTATACACATACAGCTTTGACTAAAAAAAATAATGCGTTGTGTCGTTATTTTAAAAGATAAAATTTTCAAATTTGAACCCAAAACTTACGAGCATCGTGAGCAGCTTATCAGTGTTTAATAAATAAATATATCTTTTAACTTCTAGGATTGCTGTTGGCTGCACTTTAATTTAGTCAGAAATAAAACCGAATAAAACATAAATTGAAATAGTAAGAATTGAACTCGTTGTTTGTCAAAACACTTTGAAAAAAGAATGGTTTCTGAGTGAGATAGTAATTAATCTTACCTCCGGTCATGTTCAATTATTTGAAAGTATTTTACAATATCATGTAAAATATATAGTTTTATCTTTACAAGGCGTCACAAGCTGCAAGATCAATGGAAACTGTGGGAAGTATTTTAATTCCTCCTTACGAACCGTTTCAGTTTTTTAATTAGTTAGGACGTGCCTCAAATAATGACTTTGCCAACCTTATTAAAAGATATTGCATGATAATACCCTTCAGCGCTCTTTGTTTTCAGAACGACAAGCTAATATTTTGGATGTTACTAAAACGAGGAACATGGAACGGAAAACAAGCACGAGGAACGAAAAGATATGTAAAAAATGGACACAAAACAAAAAAGGTATGCATGGTACTGACAGGGCTAGTGTCGCCCTGCTAGCAGAGCCTTTATTTCTCTTTCTCGAATTTTGGCGTATTTGAGAAAGACTGATTGAATCGAAATCATTGTTGAGCATGCGCTGCTTGTTGCCTGAATACAACTTCGAACCCAGGCCTCATAGCCGTGCGCTTTGTACAGCGGGTTCAGTTACGACAATCGGTTTATCAATACACGGATCAGGCTCCCACTCGAAAAACCAGTTTGACGGGATTGACCTGTCCACAACGACTTCAAAGGCTTGCACAATCCGGACAGAGCCTCTTTTTCTAACTTGCGTGAGCAGCCGTCTTTTAGGTCTTTGTTTGCAGGCTACCTTATCTTGTCCTGCACGTCAAGAAGACCCAAAAATGTTCACAGATAAATATAAGGAAACGTCAGTGAGTTGGGCGGCCTTACATGTAGCTTGAACGTTTTTGAATTGGCAAAGTTATTCAACATTTTAGCGAGGGGAGGGGAGGGAAGGGAGGGGCTCAGAAACCCCCACTGGTCTGAATAGGGTTAATTTCTCCTTGCAAAACTGCTTTGATGAGGCCACAAAATCAAACACCTCAAAACTCGAGGTTTGACCATGAGTTAAGGAGTCTACTATTTATTTATTTCGCTTCACCTAACTAGAATATAATACTACTAGAGCCCACTTTTGGCCCAACATAGTATTTTAGGATCAATTTGGGTCTCGGGGAAACTGACCACCTACCCCTCCCCTAAGCCAACATTTTTTCCTAAGTAAGAAGTAAGTGTTAATGTTGGCCTAGGGTAAGGGTAGGTGGGTAGTTTCCCAGAAACCTAAATTGATACATATTTTATAGCTGGGCAACTTTTTTTAAATAGCGCTAAATACCACGGATAAGGCCGGTATGAATCAGCCCTTAAATTTTAATTACACTCTAGGGCTGAGTCGAATCTTTTCAATTTACGGGTGCTTGCACATGTGTCAGTTTGTGTGCCGTATTAAAGATATTAAACGATCACAGATAATTCAACTTGGCTTTCTCATCTCACTCCTTGGAAAGTGAATACATGTAACAGTTTAAGATTATTCCAAACCGAACTTCGTGTCGTAAAATTTTCTCTTTAATCACATTCGTGGTCTGCAACATATACGACGACCACATCATCTCATGACTCGTACATTTCAGTCCGAAATAGAGAGATTCTATTACAGTTTATTCGACGCTTCTATGGTAGCTGGCTTTTGGGAGAAGCTTTTCTTTGACTTCTTCCACTAATTTTGGTTTCAACTGGCTCAACTTAGTGATACATTTCCTTCACATGGGAATCAAGAAGTAATCCCACGCTATATAACGTCGCTGTATAATATGAACACCGTCACGAACCTTAACATAATTCCTCTGCAACCTGTAGATATATCTTTGCATATTCAGATTACATCTCTATATGCAACTTCTATTTCACTTACGAATATGTATTTTTTGCAAACAGCAACTCGGATTCGGACTTTGAATGCGCTATGTGGCACTGCAACGCCACAGCAACGGGATGAGGAAGACTGAGAAAGAAGAAAAGAGATACAGCTAACTGGACCTCTCAAGGCGCACCTACTGACATTATTTAACATAAAAACACCCCTTTCTCAAATTAAGCCAACATTGTTAAAAAATGCTGAGCAGTCTTACAGCCCGTAAAATATGACTACACTCACTTTACAGTCAAGATAAAATTAATTTACTCATTGAAATTAAGCTTATTGGTCCAGCAAAAGCCTCGTTTCCTCTTTTTGACTTCATAGCTGTCAAAGAGTAGCTTTTCTTCCCAATAACGTTGCTACTGTGCGGCTGTATCTTTGGTTTGAAACACCATTGGCAGATCAATAACCTGACAACTTCTCGCCGAAATTTTGGGCAACGAAATGAAAATATCACCGGATTAGCTGCGGCACCAACAAGCCCAAGCAACATGGAAAACAATTCGAATTTCGAGGTATTTTGATTGCGTTCGTGGTATTCTGTAACGATGAGTCTTCCAAACGTCGGCGTCCAAGTAAGCACGAAAATGACAGTAACAAGAATAAATAGTTTCGTCAACTTGCGACGAGCCTTTACCAGGCCATGATCTGTTGATCGTTTGGAGTCTGTTTGGAACCATGCGCGATAAATGACGCGGGAATAACAGAAAAAAATGCCAGCGCACGGCAAAATGTAACCAAATATGAAGAGCACAAAAGAATAAACTCTGTTTAGAGTTTGAAACCAAACAGGTACGACTTCAGTTCCATTAATAGCTGTGTTTTGTAGCTTATTGTCGATTTTCTTTCTTCCATAAGTGATGAGATATCCCGGCGCACTTAGGACGATAGCGACGGCATATATCGCAAGCAAAACTTTAACAAGTAGACATTTTCTTGCTCTTGTCATGCGCACGAGGGGTTTCAGAATCGCAAAATACCTCTCCACCGCTAGGGCAACTAAAATATAGATTGAAGCAAGTGCGTTCAAGAAAAATTCAAAGTACGCAATTGTAACTTCGTTCGAGAGAATAATTATATCCAAAAAAATGAAAATAGCGAAAAAGAAATCCGAATAGGCGAGACTTAGCAAAAAGAACGTGTTTGGACTGTTCCGCAGTTTCTTGTCTTTTTGGATAACCACTATAACAAGAATATTTCCAAAAACAGTACAGATGTAAACTGCAATAGCAATGTAACTCACGACCAAAATAAATGCCTCATCCATTTTTTAACAAGACGACTTCGGAGTTGGAAAAAGTGTTGCATCACTTCTAATGGAGTGTTCTTAAAATCGCACACGGAAAAATAAGATAATATTATGTAATTTCGTCATCATTAATATAAAATCGAGTGTTATTTACTCTAAAAAACATTGTTGAATAAAAGGATATAGCCTTTTCATCAAACAAAGCTGCAGTATCACAGCACACGTAAAAGCAGGAAATTATCGTCCTCACGGGTTGTTTTCATTGGTCCACTATAACAATTATTCTTCAATGATGAAAGGATTAAAACTAATATAAGTTTATTTAAGACTACGTAAATTCCACTTAAAACCTGTTTAAAACTAGGGAAAAAACGTAGTTTAGATCTATTAACTCTCATTTTAAAATACGTTCAGGAGTCAAAAGTGGAGCGGGACTTTAAAAGGGTCCGTTAATCATATTCAGAGCGATTCCTTTGTGACTTTGCTGAAAATATGATAAAATAAGATATGAGAGTATTCAGAGAGCAGCTGCTTTCTGCTTACCTTTCAGCAGAAAATTTCAGGGTAAAAAGACACTTTTGTCAATGTTTCTAGGCAAGAACTGTTTTGTAAAAAGGCCAAAAAATATAAGGCAGTTAATTGCAAAAAAAAACTTTTTAGTTTGTTAATACTCCAGCAAAATAAACGTAAGCTCTCCTGACCATTTCCTGAAGAAGTTAATTGCTTTTCGTTTTCGCAAGTCTCTCAATATTTGGTTTTACGTTTGTGTGTTTAGAGAGCCGAATAAATACCATACTCTACCATTCTAACTATAGCATTTAGTGCAGTTCTGTTGGATTTAGTGATTGGTTTCAGTCACGTACCTTACGTGATAGTTAATTATCATTAAATTATTAAACTTAAAAATTTGAACAGTAATTCGTCTGCATCACGAACTTTTTGCGGATTTTGACAATTTACAATATATTAATTGCCATATGATTGCATTTGGCGTATTTCGATGGGCGTGAGATTGTATCGGACCTGGTATCGAGGGCATTGACAAAAAGCGAGAACGAACGCAATCGACTTTGGGTGGAATCGCTTGGGAAAAAATTAAAGGCGTGACCGGCATGCGTTCGACGAATTCCGCGGTAATCGGAAAGTTATAGACTCCGTACAGCAGCCGTTTGTAAAGACTTTTGACACCATACAAGTACAATAAATTAAGACAATAATCGAACCGTGCGTAAAGTTCGCAGATTACGAAGCAAAGGAGCAGAGGAAAAAGAGTGGGGTCTTTTCCCTTGATTTACTCATTCCAAATATCGATTTCACTACGAGTAGTTCGACGGAAAAGTGCCGAAATCCGCTCAACGGAGACGAAAAATGCTGGTCATACCCAAGACTACAGAATTGCAAGTATGACCGGTCGGCAGCCGGCATTCAAGTTCGCGCAAAGAAGATCGACAAAAACACGCGGGACACCGCAGTTAAACCTTGGCAATATAGACACAGGGCAGGGACTAAAACAAACTTGTTCCTGGATCCTCTCTCTTCCTTCCTCGGAGCAGGAAGAGAAAGGAGCTTGGGAACGAAGACGTTAAGATTGTTTGAAGCTCTCTGTCCGTAACAGAGAAATGTCCCTGCTTGCAGAGGGTTCTGTATAGGAAGGATTCGACTGCAAAATAAAAATATCCTTCACACTTCTTTTTAGGACTAATATTTTAAGTGTAAATCATGACCAGTTTGATTTTCAAAATTTACAGATTGACATATTATAGCAAACAAAAAAAATTGAGACAATAATTATTCAAATAAGTGACTGATTGTACAAAGCAACAGTACGAGAAATGGGTGTTTGTACATGAAACTTAAAGAGGCTGAAATTGATCTCATTTACGATTACCAGAATCAAAGAGGAATGAATGTTAAATATATTATAAGGAAGCGTTGATCTCCTCTCAATGAACGTTGATCTTTCTTTGAAGAAAGTTCTTCTCTATTCATTTGTCTTGTTTTTTTGCTTTTTTATTTGTTTTGTCTTTTTGTTGGATGGCAAAATTCTCTGTTAACCTTAGATTAAAACACGTGAGCAATATTAGAGAGTTTTAGATCCGAGTTTACTGCGAGGTTGGAAACAAGTGCCATTCATGGCTGCTGATTCAAAATGGCGGCCGTAAATTCAGTGCAAGAAGAACTAATGTAAGAATATACAGCTCTTTACCGCTAGTAACCCAGTCTTACCGTAAATTTCTTTTATTTTCACTGATTGATATTTCTTCTATTTCTAAATGCAAAATTAAACCAGAATCCACTTCTTTAATCCTCCGCCAATCTAAATCGAATTAAGTTTGAACGTCGAAACGCAAACCGGTAACCGCAAACTGCGGTTAGAGGTTCGCGGTAAACTCTGATCTAAAACTCTCTATTGTAATGCACAAGTTACTGTGGAGAAACTAAGGGATAAGGAGTAGTTATAATTTGTTTTTAGGCTTCCAGAGGCTTGGTATGCCACATCATTAGGTCACTTGACGATTGTTCTCAACAGTTTTACCCACTGACGTTAACTTCATTCTTGAAGAGCCCTGGGATCTTTGTGTAGTTTCGAAGTAAACCCTGGGGCCGTTTCAGTCTTCAAGGTAAAAGTAGTTGCCTGTTCGTTTCTGTTCACAATCCTGCGATAAAAACATATGGTTTATTTTTTAAACTTTATTCATTTATGTCCTCAGTTAGGCCAATTTTGCAGGGTCACCGCACATGACAGCAATTAGTGCCGGCCTGTAACAGTCCCCCCCCCCTCCCCCCATGAGATAGACCATACACTACCGGGGTCTTTGTCCCCTACTTTTTTCGAACAGCAGTTTGGCTTATTTTACGTCCCCTTTCAATAGACCACTTTACAGTTGTAGGCCAAGTACCTTAGCCTTCGAGTGAACGTGAGGCGGAGGTTGACTTTGTTTTGATACAATCCTCGTTTGTTTTCTTACGGAAATTATGCTAAAAAAATTCATGTTAGCTTTAGAACAACATGATTGACATAATAAAGCAAGAAGGGTTGTATCAAATAAAAATGGCCTATTTGTAAGACAAGATGAAGGCGGTAACAAGGCCAACAGCTTAACGCTACCGCCCAATGACTAGTCTGCTACACAGGCGTTTTCAGTGTCGTCACGCAACGCTCCTGAAAAACGGCTGTGTAGCAGACTACCAAATAACGCGATCACCTGAACTGAAACAAGATCTTACATCACAGCTAACATGATCATGTCAGTGCTTGAAAGACTCTGGCTGTTTAACACGACGGGGTTTTAAGACATTCCCTTTTTTATCTAGACTACGAGTAGTCACCCATTTTTCCTCAGGGATAATAGGGACTTTAAGATCCAACGACGCGACGGCAACGAGAACGTCGATTAAAAAGTGGACTTGCGTTCCTACAGTCTTTATAGCGATTATTCCTACGCACTGTAGGCGAACCCTCCTGAAGCCGAATTTCAAGGGACCATATCCAGAGCTCAGAAAGAGAAACAAAATTTCGTCGTTGCTTGTTTACGTCCTCTGTAAAACGCGAAATAAGGCATTTTCACGCGCGCTCGCGTTTCGCTTGCTCTACTATCCCTAAGGAAAAATGGGGGACTACTCGTAGTCTATTTTTTCTCCGTTTTAACAGCGTCGTCCGACAGATCCAGAATTTTTGGCATTTTCAAAAAAAGAAAAACTTGGATTAATTCCTTTAAAATAAAAGTGAGCATTGTAGCAGCATTTTGTACCATAGTGGTTTCTCAAGTGTATCATTTTTGCCATGTTTTACTTTTACTGGCAAACGATAAAACATGGAATGGAGAGGAGTGGTAAAACATGGAGTGGAGGGATAAAACGTGGAGTAATGAAACATGTTTTACCACTGCACGTTTTATCACTCCATGTTTTATCACTCCACTCCAGATTTTATCGTATGCCACTTTTACTATGGCGTCGACCACCACAGTCTGTGATTATATATCTTGTTGTTTCCCGGCTCTACAAAATGATGCCATTTATTCCCCAACTACTTTTTTTTCTTACTTGTGATTTTTTTTTCTTACTTTCTTTTTGTCCTCCGTGACCGACTCAAAATGTGGAAACGCATTTGACCCTAGACAAAAAAGGGATGGTCTTCGCCCA